AAAAAAAAAAATTTTTGCTATAGGGTACATGCACTCACCAGAAAGAGACAGAGGGAGAGAGAGGAAGGGAAAGTGAGAAAGCAAGCTGTCAGGCCTGAGACCTGAACTGTGGTTGACCATGTGGGTGTCCAGAGCCCCAACCACCACCCCACCCGCTGGCCCTATTTCTTATTGGTTTAGAAACTTTTGCCAGTCACCTTCTAAGTGGCAGCTGCCCCGTCCATGCACAGAGATCTGGAAGTGAGGAGTCTGGCAGCCTGCCCGCATCCCCTGGACTGTGGGTAACTCGGGGCGGGCAGTGGCAGGGGAGGTGTGAAGCGGAAGACAGAACTGGTGTGACTGGGGTACTGAGGAGGTGCTCTGGTGACTGAGAGTAACCTGCGTGGAGGTGAGTGAGACTAGCTATCAGGGAGTGCCACCAACAGCCTCAGCTAGGATGGTGGCTCAAACTGGTGGTCAAAAGCTGGCTGCCTGCATGCTAAAATCCCATTGTTGGTTTCCTGTTGTTATTTAGAACATTTGAAAACTCAGCTGGCAGCATTAAACCTTGGACTATTTCATGTTGGAAACAAAGGCTTTCTGGGTGCTCACAAAAACTGCCCCAACTTGTGCCCGTGCCCTTGTGACAACAGCTGGCTGGGGCTGAGAAGCAGTGTGTCGGCTCCCTGCTTGGCCATGCAGCCCACCACAGACGCTGCCCCTCCCTATTGCCTCACACGCCGGCCTCAGGTCACCTGTGTGACCCTTGTAGCTTCAGTACTTGCTATCCTGGCAGTAAACCAAGGTAACAGAGGTGCGTGGGAAGGGAAAAGTACGGGGGCCAACCAGTGGCTTAGTGGTTAGGGCAGCTGGATCCCACATGGCTGACCACACGGTGCAAGTCTTGGACCTGGAGGCCTGAAAGACATGCTTGTGTGCGTGCATGTCCCAAATCCTGAGAGGAGACATGGAGAAGGGATTATAGGGTAACCATCCACCATAGGGGTGCTTTCTCACTGTCTCTCTCTCTCTCTCTTTGGAGAGCACATGAGCCCTCCAGCAAATTACAAAAAAAAAAAGAGTAGCCTACTATGAAATAATAAAGGAGACGGGAGGTCCTGTTGACAGTTTCGGTGACTGATGTGGGAGATAAAGAGGAAGACGACCGAGAAACAACTGAAGAAGATACATTGTTTCTAGTTAGGGAAACCAGGCTGCTGGTAGTGACCTCCGAAAGAGGAAGCAGGTGCAAACCTTTCCCCAAACACAGCTGACAAGTTTATCAGGGCTCTGCTGAGGCAGCAGCACACAGGGCCCGGTGATGCCCCAGAGCAGGCAGGGCCAGGGTGAATGTGTGACCCTTTCTCCTCTCTTTTCTCAGTTTGCGTTCAGGTGAGAACATTATCAAAGACTTAAACTTTATTTATTTTGCTAGAGGGTGTGTGTGCTCGCCAGAAAGAGGCAGGGAGAGAAGGAGGGAGAAAGCACCCACATGGGGAATGGTCACACCGCAATCCCTCTTCCATCTCTCCATCCTTTGGGGGTTTGCAGCACACGCCCATGTGCCAGTATGTTTTCCAAGCCACTGAGGCTGGGCTCAAACCATGCGGTTGGCCGTGTGGGATCCCACTGCCTTAACCGTCAGACCTTGGACCGCCCTAAAACGTTGACTATCAGTCTGGCCTGGTGCAAGGGCAGGGAAGCATGACTAGGGAAAGGAGGAGGGGAAGTTCCCTCTCTTTGTTCCTGCTGTCCACTGTCTTCTGTCAGCAGCAAGATGAGACTGCCAAGGCCTAACCCTGGGCTCAGCCTTGCTTGGCTGGCCCCTGACCATTTGGCAAGGCAAAGGTGATTTGGGCAGGCAGGCTGATGATTAGGGACACTCATTTTTTTCTCATGAGATTTCACTAAGTCTTAAGACTATTTTGACCAAAATGGTGTTCCCTGTATGTGAGGCAGCACTGCCACCCAGAGGAATTATGGGACACTACAGCCTTATTCTTCCAATGAGGGAAGAGAGGGCAGATCACTTGAGAGAACACGGAATGGAGGGGTGGAGGGGTGGGAGGCTTCTTATCAGCCTCGGGAGCAATCTCAAGGCCTGAAGGCAAAATGGGCAAAAAGAGTGGATTTTGGAGCTTCTTAACTCTTTCCTCAAATTATGCTCAAAACCTCCCAACAGCTCATTGCACACAGAGTAAAAGTTGAAATCATTGGGAACCAGCAGTTAGCGTAATGGCTATGTTGCTAGACTCCCACGTAGTTGACCGCGGTTCGTGTCCTGGACCCGGTGGCTTAAAACTCATGCCAGGTGCGTGTGCGTGCGTGCGTGCGTGCGTGCCCAAGATCCCGAGAGGAGAATGGAGGAGAAGGGATTGCGGCGTGACCATCCCCTCTGGGGGGTGATTTCTCGCTTTCTGTCTCTATGTCTCTCTCTGTCTGGCGAGCGCACGCGCCCTGTAGCGAAAACCTCTCCAAAAAAAAAAAAAAGTTGCAATCATTGGGGCCAGCAGATGGCAGAGCAGTTATGACTTTGGACTCTCCCACATTGTGGAAGGCAGTTTGAGTCCTGGACCCGGTGCCTTGAAACTCATGTCAGGCATGTGCGTGTAACATGCCCAAGATCCCAGGAGAAGAAAGGAGGAGAAGGGACTGCAGTGGGGCCGTCATCCCTGGGAGTGATTTCTCACTCTTCCGCACCCCCCACCCCCACCTCAGGCAAACTCACATACTTTATGGCAAAAAAACTTTATATATAAAAAAAAGTTGAAATCATTGTAAAGGCCCATAAGACCCTCCAAGATTTATCCTTACTATGGGGGCAGCAGGTAGCACAGTGGTTGGGGTGCTGGACTCCCACATGGCTGACCACAGTTTGATTCCCAGACACAGCAGCTTAAAACTAACACTGGGCACGTGTGAATATGTGCCTAAAATCTGAGAGTAGAAAGGAAGAGAAGGGATTGTGGTGTGGCCCTCTCCTAGGGGTGGGGTTGGTGGTGATTTCTCTGTTACTTATTCTAGCACAAGTGCCCTGTAACAAAAAAATCTCTCTCTAAAAAAAGAAAACAAACTTTTATTTTTTACAAAAGACAATAGTTTTTATTTCTACTAGAAAAAGCATCACTTTCTTGGGGTGACCAGCAGTTGGTATACTGGCTATGTTGCTGGACTCCCACATAGTTGACCGGGGTTTGAGTCCCGGACCCAGTGGCTTAAACTCAATGCCAGGCACCTGTGCATGCGTGCCCAAGATCCCAAGAGGAGAATGGAGGAGGAGGGATTGTGGCGTGGCCATGCCCCCTGGGGGGTGATTTCTCACCTTTTGTCTGTCTGTCTGGTAAGCGCACGCGCCCTGTGGCAAAAACCTCTCAAAAAAACCAAAAAACAAAAAAACAAAAACCAAGAAACTTGGGACTGGCAGTTAGCACGGTAGTTAAGGTGCTGGACTCCCACATGGCCTACCAAGTTTCAAGTCCTGAACCTGTGGCTTGAAAAATCACACTGCACGTGTAGGTGTGTGCCCAAAATTCCAGGAGGAGAGCGGAGGAATAGGAATTGCAGTGTAGCCATCCCTCCTGAGGGGTGATTTTTCACTTTCTCTCTGGTGAACACACTTATGACAAAAGCATATTAAAAAAGAAAAAAGAAAAGAAAAAACCCACTACAAGAAACTTAGTGAATTAACTTACCATCTCCTTCAAATGAAGACCCGCTTGGGGGAATTTAAGCACCATTTACAGGCATATCTCATAGCAGTTAATGAAATGCGTGATTTTTCCGTAGAAAACTACTTCAATGGTGAAAATGAAGTAGGAATCAGAAGCACGTTCTGCTGAGAAACCATGTAGTTGACACTCTCCCGAACAGCTGCCACAGCTCCAGGATCCTCATGAGACTGATGTCTCCCAGCTGCACGACTATCTGCATTCTCGTTCCACCACAGAACGTGAACTGTGTTGAGTGCTCTGTAGTGTGTGTGGAAAACACCGACTAATTTCGTGTAGCCTAGATGAACATGTGCATGAATTGCCCTTTTAAATGCATCACCCCACGCAGCTGGCCCACCAGGTTTCATCTGAAAAATGACCAGTTCATAGACTCCTTCTTTTGGAGGCTTTTCTATTTTGCACCATGGTACCAGATAAGTAATCTCATTCTACTTATCAATGAGAGCCAAATTTGGTGTAAGAGCTTGTTGCCATTCCTTATCTTTTGCTATGGCTTTCCCAACTTCAGTTCCATGAGTGAAAAAATTATCATATTTCCAAATATGAAACACTTTATTAATTCTGCCTTCAAATTCTGTACTCCAGAATCCAACCAATTCAGAGTGAGCTGTCTGAAGATGAATGACTTTCTTAATACTTTCCAGGAGCTCATTCATTTTTGAAGGTTTAAGGCAGCAAGTACGAATTCATAGTGTTCCATCAGGTTGCCTGGGACCCGTAGCAAA